CGTGCTTTGACTGCGCTGCCAACACGCACTGCGGGTTCTGCGCGTCCGCATTTGGCCCTGCGCGCTGCGTGCCCGGCGACGACATCGGCCCGACGTCGCCCTTGACCTGCGGGTCGTGGGCGTACGGGTCGTGCCCGGACGCGTCGAGCTCCAAGACGCATGGCATTCTGATTCTTATCGCGCTGTTTGTGTACCTGGCGTGTTTTGCGTCCGGCATGGGTACGCCCGCCCTTGTTTGAATCAATATCGATCCAATGCGACATACCAATAGGATCGATGCCGTGGACGATCAACGCCGAGATCTACCCGCTCGCGATGCGCGGCATGGCCATGAGCATGTCGACGTCCGTCAACTGGATCTCCAACCTCATCATTTCGTTCACGTTCCTCTCGCTGATTGAAGGCACGACCACGTACATTACGTTTTTGGATCTACTGCGGCGTCGCCGTCCTCGGTGCGATCTACGTCTACCACGCCTTGCCAGAGACCCGCGGCGTCTCGCTCGAAGACATTGACGAGCTCTTCACGCCCGAGAAGAAGAAGAAGAAGGAGCGGTACAGCCCCGTGGGCATGGGCATCTAGGCCACCAACCCTGCATCTCTAAACTGTGGAATGCACGGGACGTTTGCGTGCTGGATTTCGTTGTATTCGTGCAAGTCGGGGGCTTGCACTCAATAGCAAGGGTCTGTGATATTGCCTCGTGATACAAGTAATAGAGGAACGCTCTTGGAGAAGACGACGCGGCGTTCGAGTCGAACTTACGTCGTCTTGGGCTTGGTGGCCGCACTCCCAATGCTGACCTTGAGGATCGGGTACAACACGAGGTAGATCGCGAGCGTCCCGATCGGCAGAAAGACGAGCCACATGTAGATAGCGTGCAGAAGCACGTACTGGAACTGCCCGAGCGTCGCCAGCGTGTCGTCTTGCAGACCCTAGTTCGCCGTCGACCTACGACCACCACCGTGCGATTGGCACGTACTTGGAGCAGCGTCGAGACAGAAAAGTCCTCTGCGCCCGCGCCAAAGAACTGGCCGCCATACGCCCTAGGACCCACTCAGACACGCAACGAGGCAATTTGGCAGCTACACGAAAACGGGCACGGACGCAATGTTGAGCGGCGTGCAGAGGTAGTTCATGAGCATCGCCGCCACCGGGTTGAGCCCAAAGAGGAAGACGGCGGCGACGACCGGGACACTTGTCACGCCAGGGATCGGAAAGATACCTACGCAGTCCATGAGGCCATGGCACCTCGCGCGATGGCTTACCGCAGGTCACGCCAAAGGCCATCGAGAGCGCGAGGCTATGGGGCGAGGCTAGGTAGAGTGAGGAGCCTTTCGGAGGCGGCGACGCTTGCATCTACCTCCCGACGTGAGCAGGTCGACGATCGGCTTCTTGACTTTGGCTTCGAAGAAGGACATGGTCCGCAATTGCAATTTGATGGCAAGCGTCGGGGTCAACCGGATATGCAGCGGGCTTTATCCGGATCACAAAGGCCGTTGGGCTGTGGGACATGCGATCATGCAGCGCACAGATTCGTCAATTAAGAAATTGAACGAGTTGATGATAAGGATGGAAATGCAAACTTTCGAGCGAGTGTACTCAGCGCGGCCTTGATAGAAGGAAGTAACTCATTAGTAGGTAAAGTCTTACCTGTGAAATTTTATATTTCACAAAATAGACGTGATGCAAACACAGAGTATGATACCACTGAGTTATACTTCTCTGTCAGGCAGATCGGGGTGATTTCCGTGGAGCCACTAGCTGAATTCTCCTACTAATGAGTCGTGTCATCCCTCTTCACCAATTCTACATACAATCCCTGCATTGGCTGGGTCGCTTTTTCGCGTCAATCTTCCTTTGTAGAGTGCCCGCGCCCCGCGCCTTCGACGCCAGAGTCGACAAACTAGTAACTTGGCACCCGACACCGAGGTCCTCAAATTCGCGACCGGCTTCCTGGCCAAGCCCATGCACATCGAGCTTCACTCGTTGCTACTTGGCGGGATGACGCCAACAACGGTCGAGGTGGCGAAGAGTGTTCAATAGAGATAGAGTACATTTCCTTCGAGTTACATAAGATTAGTTCACGACAAGCCCGCTACGGTTGGTGGTGATCACAGCACGCGCTGCCCGTGCTGTGGAGATGGCCGCACGACTGCCACCGTTGCCATTGGCGCGGCGGGTCGGCCGAAGTGCGGCGGTGCTCGAGCATGTTGGCTTCGAAAATGCCCTTGCGCTCCAGCTTGAGCTTTGTCTGGCTGCGAGTCACGCGGCGCGGCGTCGTCGTCGTCTCGGCGGTCTTCTTTCGTCGCTTTGGTGCCTTGGCCGCCGGTGCCTCCGGTACAGACGTCGTCTCGAGCTCCATCGTCACATCGAGGGGCATGTCGTCCAAGTCGCAGTACATGGTGTCTTCATCGACGGTCGTCAAAGGCGCCGGGCAGCTCCACCCGTCGGTTAGCATGTTATCAAAGCCCGAGCGGAGGCGGGTCCACAGAGGCGTCGTGGATTTTGCTGTCGAGGGAAACCCACTGTCGAGGTCGAGCGGCGGGTGCACGAGCGGCCCCATGTGCGCACGCGCCACTTCGACGGTCAGCATCTCGTCGTCCACTTTCAGCGGAGTCGGCGGAAGGAGCTGCAAGGACGTGGAGAGGTCGAGAGGTCGATTGTTCGGGCGATGCAATGCCATTTGCTGCTGGCCTGGGTGGGCGAGATACCGGTTCGTGCGCGGTGGCAGGCTTGCCTTGACAGGCGTCGATTGGACCGACGCTGCTG